AGGGAGAAATAATACCAATCTCACAAAGATTCTTCCAGAAAATAAAAGATTGTACATTATCCAACTCTCTTATAATGGTAGCATAACATCGACAATAAAACTCAACAAGGACAATATTAGAAAGGAAAATAATAGGCCTTTTTTATTCATGAACATAAATCCCAAACAAAATATTAGCAATATGGATCTAAGTTGGATTTATCCTAGGAATGCAAGGTTAGCTTAAATATTAAAAAATTCATATAATTTATCACATTAATAGACTGATGTATTATATGACCAATTAATGCTGGAAAAGCATTTCCTAAAATTCAAAGTCTGTTCTTTTTCATTAATTATTTTTATTTATACATCTTTATGGGGTACAGAGTTGACTATCAGTATTTGTGTACACTATGTGATGATCAAATCAATATTATTAGCATGTTCATCATTACAAATCGTAGTTAATTTTTGTGTCCCTTACCCAACTGCTCTCTAGTCCTTCTCCCCTCAACATCTGTTCTTAATTTAAAAATTAGCAGAGTAAGATTAGAAGGGAAATTATTTAATCTGATAAAGGATATTCACAAAAATTTTACAACAAATATCATATTTATGATGAAACACAGAAAGCTTTCCCTTTGAGGCTGAGAACATGGTAAGGATACTCACTGCACCAGTTACATATTGCTGTATAACAAAGTACCCCAAACTTGCTAGGGTTTTGCTGGCCCTTCCTACACAGAATTTTTTTTAACCTTATTGCACTGCTTAAGACATCCAATATAGTTTTAAACAAAACTGGATATGGCAGATTAAAGACAACTGTAAATTCTTTTACACTCCTTGGTCTGATCCATGTGGTGTCAGCAGAAATGGTGGATTAATCTCCTTCCTAGATGGTTCTTCATTCACATGTCTGGTGCCTTGGTTTTTCCTTGATCTTTTTATCTACGTGGTGTCTCATCCTTCAGGGCCTCTCCACATGTCTTGGCTTCTCACAGCATAGTGGTCTCAGTGTAGTTTCTTTTCTTACCTAAGAGCTAGATTACAAGAAACCGAGGTGGAAGCTGCCAGTCCTCTTCAAGAACTGACGTAGTGTCACTTCTGTCATACTCTATTGGTTCAAAGAATCAACGGCCGACCCATGTTTAGAATGAAGCAAAATAGACCCACCTCTTCATGGATGTAGTGTAAAAGAGTTCATAGTTATCTTTAATCTTCCATATTCACTTTTATTAAAAACTGTATTGGATGCCCTAAGCAGTGCAGTAACGTAAGAAAAAATAAATTGTATAAGGATCGGAAAAGATGAAACAAACTCATTGTGTGTGTAAGATATGATGGCATGCATAGAAAATTCAAAAGAATGTATATATAAATTATTAGGGTTAATAAAAGAATTTTTCAAGCTTGCTTAAAGCAAAATAAATAGTAAAATTAATTGTATTTTTATATGCGAGAGACAAATAATTGAAATAAGTTTAAGGTAGCATTTAAAAATTCCAAGTGGGCCGGCCCGGTGGCGCACTCGGTAGAGTGCAGCACTTGGGAGTGCAGCGGCGCTCCCACTGAGGGTTCGGATCCCATACAGAGACGGGTCCACTCACTGGTTGAGCGCAGTGCAGGTGTGACACCGAGGGTTGTGATCCTGTTGCCAGTCGTGGTATGGGCGCGACACTGACTGAGGGTTGCGATCCCGTTACCGGTCACGAAAAAAGACAAAAAGGGAAAAAAAAAAAATTCCAAGTGAATTGCACATTCCTTCCTGTAAGATAATGGCTGCTGCCTAAATCTCTCCACACAGTCTTCAGAAACCACACATACACACACACATGCACGCACACACACAATTTAAAATTGTGAATAAAACTACCCATAACTCACCTACAGAATAACTAGAAGACAAAGAATACTATAAGTTTCCATTTACAAGTAAGAAATAAACATCCAAAGCCAGCAGACCCAGCTCCAGAGCTTACTCTGAATAGAGTTCAGGACAGACTGTGCAAAAAAGAGGAAAGATCACTGTGGGACCTAGTGGTGGCGGAACACCGGTAAAATCACTTCTGAAAAGAGAAAGTCCCCCCTCTGTGCAATGAAATACTAATGTTTGGGACCTTCATTGGCTTCAGGGGAACTGAAAGGAAAGGGATTGAAAGTCTATGGGACTAGAGGTGATGAATGAAGGAAGAAAGCAAATGGTGGAAATTAAGTGTCCTATAAAAATAAAAGTGAATCAAAAAATCACCAGACACACAAATGTCTTCAGGTCCCATCTATTGAATAAATTGCACTTCACTTTATTAACAGTAGAGGATGCTCCTGGACTAAGAAACCTCTGCCTACATAAAATCACCTCTTATTGCTGGAACGAGAAAATAGAAGCATTTTCTAAGTGAACAGAAAATGTCGTATGAGGTAGATGGATGGTAGCATTGTTCTTGATTTTTCACTCACTCTTTCCTTGAAAGCCTCACTGAATTTAGGCATAGCCGTATGCCTCATTTTGACCAATAGAATGTGAGTGGATATGACAGACGCCACTTCTACACAGAAGCTGTACATGGGATTGTGTGTTTGACTCAGTCTGTTGTGCCTCTGCTTCAGGCTCCAGACTTTGAGCCTGTAGAACTATGATGGAATAAATAAATTTCTTTTGTTTTTAAGCCACCAAGTTCATGGTAATTTGTTATGGCAGCCCCAGAAAACGAATACAAACTAATACAGGGAATATGTTAGAGTTGAATTAGAAGTGTCTTTAAGAAAGCAGTAATCTTAAAGATATGTTTCTTAGCACTGTCTGCAGAGAGGGCCTAGAAGTACTGACACCACAGTAGCAATGAGCATTCCCCAGGCACGGGTCTTGGTCTCTAAACACCATTTCCCAGTAAAAGGAATCTGGTCTCCTTAGAGAAATGACTGACTCCAAGTCTGGAGCAAGGAAACTGCCAGGTGATCTTGGAACAACGTGCTGTGCTAGAATGCAAGGAAGCACACTCGAAGACTAACGGGGTCATGTGAAAAAAAGGAGCTGGCTTGGAGGGCTTCCTATTGGCCAGATGTGAGACAATTTGAACATCAAAAAGAATAATAGTAGTAATGGATTATAATACATAGAATGAAGAATGGATCCAGGAATCCACAATCATAGTAAAAATAAATAAATAAATAAATAAATAAATAAAGGGGGATGGGAAGCTTTTCTTCACAGGGGAGTTACAGCTAATAAACATAAAAGAAATGACAAAATTGGAAAATCAATTTGCAACCATCAGTATACTATAGAACACTTGTAAGGAACTTTAATGGATGCTAAAAACCACTGGATGAAAGCTTGTTGGGGAACAGAATACATGCATGGTCTCAAAGTATTACTCCATGGACTGTTAGTAAAGGGAAATGGTTACCTTTATAACAGAGAGACTGGGTGGACACCATCTTAACCAAATGATTAAACTTAGCATCATCAATAATGGAATAAACTGGCATCATGTGTCCCTTAATTTGGTGCAAAATCTAATCAGGAGATGACAGTCATTCAAATTTAGAATGTGGGACATTCTACAACACAAGTGTGCTGGACACTTAAAAGTGTCAATGTCATGAAGAACAAAAAAAGACCAGAGACTAGGGGTCTCGTCTAGATTAAAGGAGACTTGAGAGAGAGATGACAAGTCAATGCAATGTGTGATCTTTTATTAGATTCTGTACAGGAAAAACTGTATATTGGATATCACTATAATAACTGTAAAATTTTGAATATTAGATAATATTGTGTTAATATTACATTTGTTGGGTGTAATGATGGTATTCTGTGGTTACATAGAAAAATGACCTTATTCTCAGGTTTGGCATACTGAAGTATTTGAAATAAAATGCCATGATGTTTACAATTTTCTTTCAAAATGTTCCAAAAAAAAGTGTGTGTGTGTGTGTGTGTGTGTGTGTGTGAGCGAGAGAGAGAGTAAATATCTCAATATGTTAACAGTTGATGAATCTAGGTGAAGGATTTAAGGGTGTTCATTGTATTATTCCTTCAATTTCTCTAGGTAGATAATTTTTCAATGAAGCCTTCTTTGAAGGGAAATAATAAGGATGAAGTCTAACAAAAAGATTTACAAGCCTCAAAATATGCCATAAACATTTGTCAAACAATTTCAGAACAGAGACCTTATGTTTCTCAAAAGTTTTATCAAATGCAAACTTCACTTCCACCAGTTTTTATGATATATTTGCCATGTTACATACATACGCTATATATTCTATGGGCTGAAGATAAAACAGTGATCTGGCCTTTGCCGTCATGGAGCTAACATTTAATGGTGGAGACAGAGGAAACAGTCAGTAAGCACGTAAACAGGTAAACAAGTGGAGATTTAGAATAAAAAGGACTCCTACCTGGGATGAGGAAGAGCTTTTTAAAGAGGTGCCATTTCAAACGAGACCCAAAGACTACAAAAGACGGATAAAGGCAGAGGGGACCGAAGGGGTAAGAGCCTTCCAAGCAGCGGGGATCACAGGTACCAAGGCTGTTGTGTTCGATAGCGCGGGCGCTGTCTGGGACCCCAAATGCCAGCGTATCTGCAATGCGGGAAACAGAGGCAATGAGATGTGAGACTACGGCAACGACCATATCAGGCAGGGCTTGGAATAAGGAGTTTGGGTCTTATTCTAAGTGACAGGGAAGGTTTTCAGTGGGAGCGTGGCATCAGCAGGTTTATGTACTGAGAAGATCTTTCTGGCTGCCGTGTCTGGGGGAGGTGGCCATACCGTGCGTCACTAGTTTCCACAGTTCCCTGGGTGCTTTCCATAAGCAACCAGGGTTGGGAACCTTGGGGGTCTGTGGAACTAAAGTGAAGAACTTCTTTTGTTCTGCTGGCTAAACTGTGTGTGATCGTGTTATTTCACGCCGCGTTTGCAGGCTTTCTTCCCACTGTGAGTGATTGGCGGGGGGCGCTGTACACATGATAATGTTTCCAGCAAACCACGAATCAATGCTGTCTTTCCTCTTTCAGGTTTTTCAGGGAAATCAAGACTCCTTCACAGCCGTGGTGCACTCCCTGGATCCACCGCTGCTGACTCGCTACCTTAGAATCCACCCCCAGAGCTGGGCGCAGCACATCGCCCTGAGGCTGGAGGTTCTGGGCTGTGAAGCGCAGCAGCTGTACTAGGGGTGGCCCTGCAGCCCGGCCCGGCCCGCCGCCCGTCCTCACGCAGGGCCCGGCCTCCAGATGACCTCCTGCCCCACACCGGCCACGGCGCCGTCATTTTTCTAAGTATTTAACCTGTACAGTTCTGGCAGACACTGCCCTGAAGCTTCCCACATTGATTGTCCTTAATCCCGTGTTTCTGGAGGGCGTTGCGTGCCATGTAACTCCGGCCCATTCTCTGCAGCTGCAGTCAGTGCAGCTGGTCCCTCCTTCCTGTGGAACTAGGCAGAAGGCGCTGGAGAGAAACCCGCGTGGAAAGCCAGGTCTCTCACAGAGCCACCATTTCCTCTGTTGTACAAAAACAATGTGTTTTAAAGTTGGCATGATGTAAACGTTTCAGATTAAGCTTTATACATTTAAAATAAAACTCTCACTTTATTATCCTGGTCAAACATGGAACAAAACATGTTTTGAGATCATGTCAACACAACCTTGGAGTCAAAATGCACGTCAGTTTGACAATCTGTGAAATGGAGATAAAAGAACGACCACATCAAAATTTATTTTTGCCACCTTATAGGTAGATATGATTCTCTTATTTAGTCATCTTGGGACATTGTTACCTCAAAAACCAGTATTCTTAAACTGAGGCTCTTAGGTGAGGTTCAGAAGCCCGTAAATCCCCTGAAATGATATACAGCATTCTGCATGAATGCATGTGTGCATTTTCCTGACAAGAGCGTCCACAGATTTAAAAAGATTTTTAAAGGGGAGTTCAATTTATTCTCAGAAGGATGCAGAAATAAAGCCATTTGGTCTTAATTCTAACCAACATAAAAATAGGTCAGGGGTATGGAATTATTGGGAACCTCAAAATAAAATGACAATGTCCTCTTGAAATTTGTGGTGGCTGAGAAAGGTAATGAGGATAATAGGCTTCCAAAGGACATATTTTTAATATTTCTGTGGAAAAATGAGAAAACTACATGGCTGTCTTTATAAGAGATACAAGCTTTGTAATTCTAATAAAGCACTTATTTTATTCCATCCTTCACCTGATCCTGCTGAAACAACATAACAGAAATGTGCCAGGGATCATTTTTTACCATGACTGAAAACGAGAGTCCCACTTACATAGCGGAAATATCAAAGAGTCAGAAGAAAATTGAACTGGCAAAAACAGAGAAAAAACATTCCAGTCTGCCACGTCCACCACGCGAGAGGAGCCCACACCTCGCCCCACCCCCATAACGTTGTGACAGGTTTACCGCTCCTTCCATCCGCCTGTCCCCTGCACTGTGACTACACAAACATCTCCTGATGGTAAAGGGGACTAGAGGAAACGATAAGCCATAGAGCAGTTGGACGAAGCATCCAAAGTTTGCAACCCCGAGCAATTTGAAAACAGGAGTCCCTAATATAAGAGAAAAATGTATCCCGGTCTCAGAAAAGGCTAGAGAAAGGCTGCTTTTTTTCCATGCTAGAGCATTTTCTATTAATCTTGCTTGACTCTGCTCTGCAGACCCAACTGCTGAAGGTGCAAATGATTTATAGTCCTATAAAGTTCAGCAAGGTAAGAGGTTAACTTAAGAAATCAATAAGTTGTTTTGTCATATAGCCTGATGCAGGAGTTAACCCCAAAGACGATATGGTCTCATTTCCTGTAAAAGGTTAACCACTCTTATGTCTAACCTAATAATTTTTTTTTGGCATTCTTTTCTCATAGACTATATCCATCTGTATTTCTCAAATGTTCTTGGAACCAGCTCTTTTGTCTTCCTGCTGTTTTCCTCAGTAATGACTTAAATAAAACATTGACATATACAAACAAATGCCTTTGAGAACTGTGTTTTTACACTGGAAATAAAAATGTGAACAAAGATATTTTTAAAATAACTAGAGGCACTGAACAGTAGGATGGATACCTTAGAAAGCTAAACTAGTGAGTGAGAAAACCAGATTAAGTTGAGATCAAAGTAAAAAGTGATATAATTTGTGAGAGGCAAAATAAAAGAAATAAGAAATGGAGCCTCAGTCCAGGAGAAGAGCTTATACAGACTGAGAGAAAAATGAGAAATCGCTGTTCAATGGGCATAAAACTTCAGTGATGCAAGATGAATACGTTCTACAGATCTAGTGTACAACATTGTGCCCGTGGCTAACAGTACTGTATTATGCATTTAAAATTTTGTTAATGGGCCGGCCCGGTGGCGCACTGCGCTAGTGCGCCACTTGGGAAGCGTGGAGGCGCTCCCGCCGAGGGTTCGGATCCCACGTACAGGCCGGTTCCCGCTCACTGGCTGAGCGAGGCGTGGGGGCACCACCGAGGGTTGCGATCCCGTTGCCGGTCCCGGTCCGGTACAGGGGCAACACTGAGGGTTGCGATCCGTTGCCGGACATGGAAAAAGACAAAAAAAAAAAAAAAAAAAATTTTGTTAAGAGGGTAGATCTCATGTTAAATGTTCTTACCACAGTAAAAGAAAAAAAAAAAAGAAGAAGAAGGAAAGTTCAGAGAGGATGTGGCAAAATAAAACAATAGGAGAAAAATTCTTTGAGATGAAATAATAATAATGATAAAAATAAATTTAAATCTTCAGATCAAAGATGGTTCCTTAGTGCAAGGCAGAAATAAATTAAGACCAAAACAAAACATTTCATGGGGCCAATGTTAAATTCCAGAGATAATGCAGAAGAATGAAATTGTGCATTATTTACTAGCATAAACCTGGTCAGGTAGGAAAACAGACACCATTGCTAACCCCAGAAATTTTGCACCATTTTATAATGCTGGTTGAGTTATTTATAAGATCACTGAGATCACAGCAAGTTAGTTTTTAGAAGATTGGTAAGCAAGTTCAATTCCTATGACAAATACAGTTTGTAACTTTAAGTGAACAAATATAATTTCCCATCACAAACATTTTATCAAACATAATTTCAAGATTACAAGTCAACAATCTTTGGAAGAAAAATATTAAAACAAGTCCATCTCTCAGTGTTATAGAAAAGCTGTTTATCCTGTTTAGTAAACATACTATACAGAAACTCAACTTTATGATGGCAGGACACAAGGTATGGGTTTAACTTTAATATTTATCAACTAAATATTTTCTAACTTTCTTCCTCAGCCGTTTAATCAAAGGGTAATGGCTAACAGCACTCCCAGAAACGTATCGGCAACTTCTTTCTTTCAAAGTTTCTCTTTAAGTGTCATTGAAGCTTGTGGGTTATTATTTCATCCATACTGTTAACCAAGACTGAGACTTTCAGTCTCATGCTTTTCAGTTTCTACAATTAAGGATAAAATGTTCAAACATCCTGTCAAAAGAATAAGTTGCGTACAAAGAAGAAAGAATTAGAGTAATACTCACGACAGTCACTTGTTCCTTGTCTACCTCGCATCTCTTCGCTTGGGAAACTGTCCCTCTCACATGCCGCAATATTCCTACCTGGTCCATGTTTTGTGAACCAAAACTCCTTTTTCTTCCTAAACTAGTTTGAGTTGGGTTTCTGTCACTTAAAACCCAAAGCGTATCTTCTAGGCTTCATAAGACAGTGAAGAAAAAAAACACAGAGGTGTAAAAGAAACATTTCCTCATTGTAACCCAAGAATTTTTCCAGCCAAAGTATATGTATTTCCCAGAATATATAATATATATTCACATATCTCTATTTTTATTCCAACCTTTCTCCTATACATAAGCTCGGAATATCCAAGTGCCTGCTGTACATCTTCCCTTGCATATCCCACATATTATATTAATCGTCTTCTCTCCTATATCTGTGGCGTTACCTCTCAGTGAACATGACTATTCACCCAGTTCACCAACCAGAAACTCAAATGTTATCCTTGACATCTCTCTACCTCATTGCATCAATTCCTATAACTCAATAGTGCTACTATCCATTTAACCTCTTACATATTTCTTAATTCACATCCAACTTCATCATTCATCTCTCCTTCAACACCCACTTTGGTGTCATGCTCCCCCTTGCCTTCGGTATTTTATAAAAGTGTCCCTTCTGTATCAAACAATGTCACCTCTCTCCCTGCCACTCCACCAACCTAGCTAATTCCTATTCATCTTTCGTTCTCAGCTTAAACATCAGTTAAACATAATCTCCTCTAGGGGCTTTTCGCGTCTTTTACCATGAGTCCTACTAGTTAGTTTCGTGGTCCCCTCCGTGATGCCCCTACAGCACCTTTACATCATTGTCTTCAAATTGCCCGATAACATCCAACTAAAGATGGTAAAACGAATGAAAGCCTTAACCATCAACCTTCGCTCTCTTCTGAAATTCCAATAAAATAACCATATGATTTTTAAAAGTGGGATGGGGCTGTACAAATCCTCAAGGGAGAGGAGACACGAGCAACAAAATTTTAGAAAGTAGAAAGAAGATGTAGAGTTGTAACCAACTTAGAAAACCCTAGAAAGCTGAATCTTTGGTTGTCAATTGAGAAAGCCAAGAAGCAACTGGATTGATATTATAGAATCCTTCAAAACAGCCAGGAATTGGTGGCTTTGGGTAATTCTGGAAATCAAGGTAAAGATGAGGTGCTAAACTAAGGAAGACTATTTGAGAAAATGCCTAATTAGACAATTTGAGAAGTAGTTTAACCCTACAGTCCTCTTCTCAGCTCCACACTGCAACACTAGCAGAAAACCTGGATGTTTATTTTCTGGAGAGGAGAGGATAGAGGATCTATGAATTGGGAGACAGCAGGCATTGTTGAGGGTAGAGTCCACCTTACTGAAAGTGGAAGGACCAAGAGAGATTTCTTACTCAATCTTGTGACCCAGAAGCACTCTCGCCTTTCCCATTTTGCAAATAGGAGCTACCATAGTAGCAGGAGTAATTGACCCTAATGTTCATTAGAAGTTCAGGCTGCTGCTACATGGTAGGGACAAGAAGGAATGTGCTTGGCACTCAGGTGATCCACTGAGGGCATCTCCTAGGACTAAATGCAGCAATGGGGATTGTGGCTCATTCTACTAACCATCCTTTGATAAGTTTCCCCAGAGGTTGTGACCAGCCAGAATCCTGGAGAAGCTGTGGCAGGATGTATTGGGCCTACATTCTGAGAAATAAGTGGATTTGAGAGGTGCAAGAGGTAGACTGCAGCAGATGCTGTAACTCTGTCACTCAGATCTCCTGAGATCCTTTTTACCAGTTCAGTGTTTGCGCCCACCCCCCAACTGCTGTGGAAATGGCTTCCAAACCTGCTATATTCTTCAGAGGACTGTCCATAAGCTATATAAGCTGCCTGACTCAGAAGTACCTGAGGGTTACTCAGCCTGCCCCCAGCACCTCGTAGACCATGGCCAAGGACTGACTGGGGTGAAAGTACAAAGCCTGAATCATTTGTCTCAAGGCAGGACAGACTCTGAGGTGCAATCATGCTCCAGGGCAGCCCGTGAAGTCAGGTTGAAACAACATTTCAGCTGAAATCACAATTTTGTGGTTCTGATGGCTTTATGAGCAGAGTGAGTGAGTGAGAGAGATTAGCTTTCTTGCTCAGTGCATTCTTACCAAGTGACACACTAGCCTCCACAGGACTCTGTAGAGTTGCCACCAAGCAGAAGGCCCTCACCAGATGTGTTCCCTGGATCTTGGACTTCCCAGCCTCCAAACTGCAAGAAATAAATTCCATTTCTTCACAAATTACCAGCTTCGGACATGTCATTATAAGCAACAGAAACAGACTAATACACTTAGCAACACTGTCACCTTCAGTAACTGGGTGATCTAGCTAAACAGATTTCCAAGTAAACTGTTGAAGGTACCACCTGGTTTCTTCTTGTTGCTTCTAGCAAAATGTGAGAAGACAAGGATGAATTGTGAGGAGAACTGTTGAACACTAAGGAACAAGAACCTGATAGTTTCAAAAATTCTCTGCCTTTCCAGACAGCAAAAGTTTCTTTTTTTTTTTTTTTTAAAAGATGACCGGTAAGGGGATCTCAACCCTTGGCTTGGTGTTGTCAGCACCACGCTCAGCCAGTGAGCAAACCGGCCTTCCCTATATAGGATCCGGACCCGCGGCCTTGGTGTTATCAGCACCGCACTCTACCGAGTGAGCCACAGACCGGCCCCTGGACAGCAAAAGTTTCTAAGATTAAGAAATGGCTTCTGAATAAAGATCACAGCTAACTGACATCTCGATGGGAGCAATGGAAGCCAGAATACAGTACTAAAGTGACTATTGATGGAAAAGTGTATACCCAGCAACTGTGTCTTCAACAGTGAGGGCAAAATGAAGACATTTTCTGACACAGCAAACTTTCACTAAAGGAAATTCTAAAGAATCTCATATAAAATGTCTCAGATGCAAAAATTGATGAACAACAAGAGGGTTAAGAATGTGGATAAAGCTAAATAAACATTGGCTAAATAATATAAGAACAATAACGTCTCATGGTGATAAAAATAAAGCTGTAATATACATAACAACAGCATAAGCAAAAAGGAGATGATCAACATCGAAGTACTACGGTCCTTGTGGTTCAGAAGAGACGGTAAAGACACTGAATTGCTTAAGATTTTTTTTTCCATTTTAACCATTTTAAAGTGTGCAATTCAATGGCTTTTAGTATATTCACAATGTTGTCCAACCATCACCTCTATCTAGTTCCCAACATTTCATCACCTCCAAAGAAAGCCCCGTACCTATTAGGCAGTCTTCCCCTATTTCCCACTCCCTGCCTCCCCTGGCAATTATTACTATGCTCTTCTATCTCTATGGCTTTGCCCATTCTGGGCATTTCACATAAGTAGAATCATATAGTATGTGGCCTTTTGCATCCAGTTTCTCTCACTTGACATAATGTTT